TATCAATGTCAGACGATGCAATAGTAATAATAGATACGTAAATAGGTATCAATAAAAATATGATAATATGCATAAATATGCTTTTATTTATTAAAGTTTATTTCGGAGTAACAATAAATAATTTATATTCAGTGTATCGTAATGTAACGTAAATGTTTCCATGGGAAATGATGTTAATGCAAAGTGACTGACAATATGTTCTAAAAGAACTCCCGGCGAAAGTATGAAGCTCTACCCTAGGCCCGCCAACTCAAAGAGCATACACTGTAAAAATAACCATAAATTCTGCAGAGGAAAAACTAACAATATTTTTTTTCCGCAGAGAAATTATTTTTAAAAATAAATACAGAGTTTTTTTTCTGTTTTTAACAATTACTCACAATTTGCTAAAAATTCCCGTTTTTACGTAAACTTTTTCTGTATATTTGACGGTTTTTCACCTAACTTTTTCTCTGTTTTTCACCCTAATCATCATAAACAGATTTAAACTGTAAATTCGAATCAGTTAGTTTTTCTTCTGCAATTCGACGTCATCGGCGAATTGATCTTCTACCAAATTATATTATAACTTTCGGTATAATTTTATGGAAAGTCAAATTGCCTCAGATAGTTTAAAACGTTTTTACATTTAAATATGATTTTAATGTGTTAGACTTTAAAAAAAGAGATAGTTTAAAATTTTTCTTCATAACTAAGCGACCAGTGGTTCAGGAGACAGAGCACTCGGCATGGGTTCGAAACCCGACTGCTTACGCGCATTCTGCTCTCGGCTCGCACTAATCACAATGCTGAGATAGTTATGTTATTTTATATAGATTTTTTTTGTTGTTAAAATCACAGAATTTTGTGTTAAAATAACAGTATTTATCTCATAAAAAGAGCTCGTTTTTTTAAATAAAATTAGGTTTTTGTGAAATTGTTGTTGGTTTGTGTCGCACATGTGCTGCACAACGGGCAATTGGCGACACTCTAGAAAACATCCCTGAAGATGACATGATATCATAATTTTGATCTCGTTAATTTGGCATTCCCTATATAGTACCAATATTCAAACATCTAGCATCCTAATATTGGTCTCTCGGTGGATGCTCATGGTGGATGTAAAATTGTTGCTAGGGATGCTCTGTAAGTTTTCTATTGCAACTAAAAGCTATATTTTACCTTGAACTTAAACGTTATATTTCACAACAGTGATTCCTGCACGGTTTGTGCTCACACTCTTGGGCTTCTTCGGTTACATCAATCTCTATGCCATGAAAGTAAACCTCAGCGTGGCAATGGTAGCCATGGTAGGCAAGGCTCACCCGAACAATGGATCCAATGAAACAGTTATAACATGTCCTGAGTTGATAATACCAAAAGATTTAACCAATGAAAATGATATCGAGGTAAGTTTATTAAAAATATTTTATAATATCTGTACTAATATAAAATCTACGCTATTATATGTCATAAAGGGTATCAAAACCTGAATATTAAAACAAGCAACTAATATTATTTTTAATAAATTGGAAATGTATAGACATAGATCTTTTTTTTAAATTATCTTTTGATTATTTCCTACATTGCTTTCTCAAACTGTTTTATGCGTTGTTTATCATACATTTCCCCCCTCCATATTGTTATGCTCATGTTTTTACATTGTTGAGAGAAGTTTAAAGAAATATTAATTACATATTTCAAGCACTAAATAAGCTATTAAATATCATAGTATTTATAATAATAGATATAATAATTATAATTCAAGTAATAAATATATGTAAAATTAAATATTTTTAAATAAATATTTCAGGTTTTTTTTTAATTTTGTTTAATAAATAACTAGCTGACTGAATATTTAAAAGTGTATATTTAAAATTTAGTTTGAGTTTGTATTAATCTTTTATATTTTTATACAAACTTTCCAATCTGTACTACACAACGAAAAATTGTGCTATTCCTATAAGTTATTTTTCATCAATTTTATGTATTTAAATATATTTTGTTTCATAACTGGCGTTGAACAGCCGACACAATTCTGATTTTACGACTACCAATGTTGGGTTCAAAATTACAATTATGAACCCAACCAAGAGTACGAGAGAATTTCTAGATCAAGGAAAACTAGCCTTCGTGTATTACTTTTTGATGGAACTAGCTTGCATTTGCATTACATGGCGAGGAACAATAATAAAATTCACACGCAACGTATGTGATATTGGTGTCGCATGTTTCCTCATTTCATAATTCTTCTTACTTTTGTCAGTCTCGCTAAATTTTATTCTTAAAAGCCCTGGCAAGGTCAATTTTTAGTTTTCAGATCGGATTACATGTGAGAAATCGCTTGGAATTTCGTTACAGGACGTAATGGTATTTCTCTAATTTTTCGAACACCCTGTTTGTATGAAGCCTATACAATTATTTTTTTTATTCTTAGACAATTGGAGAATTTAACTGGGATTCAAGTATTCAAGGACAAGTA